TTGGGTCTTACTATGTAACATTAGTTGAGTACTTATATTTACAGGGCACTACGCTATTCACTTTCCTTGCATTCTTTCCCTTAATTCTCAATATTGTGATGCAGGTACTATTATCCTTATTTGCCAGGCAAGAAAATTGAGGTTCACGAAGTAGTTTGCCCAAAGTCCCATAGATAGTAATCCTGACCTTATGGAACATATCTGTTAGTGGGAAGGGAAGAGAGTGATGATGAAAAAGACTGAGGGCCCAAGGACAGGTAGAATCTAACTGCTGGGGCTGCGTTAGTAACTATTTCATAGACTCCCAGCTGCCACCAACTATGAATTGCAACATTATTTTACATACCAGTGAGGGGAGGAAAAATGCTTCCATTAAACAGTGACACGCATTGATTGAAAGACACATCCCAGGTTGTGTGTCAGGCTAATCTCCCCTACAAAAAATAAGATCTTGAATATGTTCCTAAGTTTCAAGTTTCTTGCTGGATTATCGCCAAATTTTAATAATCCATCATAGATGTCATGTGTTTGTTCTCAAAATTGCTGAGTTGGATGTGCTGTCAGCATGGCACACATCTGGGAATCAAAAGTTCCAAGTGTAAGGTCTGCCTTTGCTGTTGAAATATCAGTTTAACGTGGATATTTTATTCTTTTATAATAACAGTAATAGAATAGCTAATACTTACTGAGCTTATGTTATAGTGCCAGATCCTATACCCAAACACTTTACATGTATCAACTCATTTTAATTCTTACAGCCCCGTGAGGCAGAAACTATTGTTATTTTCATTTTATAGACGGGAAAACAGAGGTATGCAGAAGTAAGTATCTTGCTCAAATTCATAATTACTATGTGGTAAAGTGGATGGGATTAGAACCTGGGAATTTGTTTGGTTTTTTTAATTTAGGTTTTTTCAGGTATAATTTACATACAGTAAACATCACCCTTTTAGTTGACAAATATATACACAAACAAGACATAGAACATTTTCATCCCTTCAAAAGCTTTCTCATGCCCTGAATATTGGCTCAGGTGGTTGAGCATCCTCCTGCAAAGTGAAAGGTTGCCAGTTTGATTCCCATCAGTGCACGTGCCTAGGGTGCAGGTTCATCCAGGTTGGGATGCATATAGGAGCAACCAATCAATGTATCTCTCACACATCAATGTTTTTCTGCCTCTCTTTCTCTCTCCCTTCTCCTCCCTCTAAAAAGAAAGGGAGAGAGGGAGGGAGGGAAGGAGGGAGGAAGGAAAAAGTGCTCTCATGACCCTTTGTGGTCAGCCCTCCGCCTACCCCCAGCAACCACTCATCTTGTATTCTATCTGTATAGTTCTGTCTTTTGGGAATATCATATAAATGAAATCATACATTACTTAACCATTTGTGCCTGGCTTCTTTCTAGAATAAAGATTTTCAATTCACCTATGTTGTTTCATAGTTCCTTTTTATTCTAAAAAGGATACCTTTGCACAGATACATCACAGTTTATTCATCCATTTACAGTTGATAAACATGGGTCTGTTTATGATAGAGGTGCTATAAAGCTGCTACAAACAGAGTTCTACAAGTGTTTATGTGAGCATATGTTTTCATTTATCTTGAGTAAATACCAAGTAGTACAGGATTTCTGGGTCATATGCTAAGTGAGTGTTTAACATTTATAAGACACTGCCAACTGTTTTCCAAAGTGGCTATACATATCACTTTGCATTCTGACCAGCAGGCAATATATGAGACTTCCAGTTCCTTTGCTCCACATTCTCACGTGAACTTCTGTATTGTCTGTTTTTTAAATTTTACCTATTCTATCAAGTGTGTAGTAATTTTAATTTGCATTTCCATACTTATTTATTGTGTTGAACATCTTTTTTTGTTCTTATTTGCCATCTGGTATCATATTCTTTTGGCCTAAAGAAGTTTCTTCAGTATTTTCTCTAATGCAGGTCTGCTGTCAATGGCATCTCTCAGCGTTTGTTTGAAAAAGCCTTAATTGGCCTTCATTTTTTTAGTGTCTTTGCTGGATATTGAATTCTATACTGGCAGTCTTTCTCCTTTTAGTATTTCAAGAAATATTTCTTCTTTGTCTTGAGGCTTGCATAGTTTCTAGAGATGTCTCCTCTATCTTTATTCCCCTATATGTAATCCTTTCTCATCTTCTGCCTACTTTCAGGACTTTATCTTTGTTTTTGGTCTTCACCATTTAACTATGATGTGTCTAGGTGTGTTGTCTTTGTTTTTTTTAATGTTTATTTTTTAAGTTAAGTTTATTTTCTTGGAGTTTGCTGAGATTCTTAGATTACTTTTCATTGACTTTGGAGCATTCTTAGCCATTTTCTCTTCAAATATTTCTTCTGCCCTGTTCTCTTTTTCATCTCTTTCTGGGACTCCAGTTACATATTGTTAGATCATTTGATACAGTTTCACAGGCGTTAGAGGCTCTGTTTTACTTTTTTCACTTCTTTTTTTCTCTGTGTTTCATTTTGGATAATTTCTATTAACCTATCTTCAAATGCTTTTATTCTTTCCTGAGCTATGTGTAGTCTGTGTAAAAGCCCATCAAAGGAATTATTTTATCTCTGGTAATTGGTTGCTATATTTCTAGCATTTACATTTGAATCTTTTTATAGTTTTCATATCTCTGCTGAAATTTCCAATCTGTTCAAGCATGCTGGCCGTCTTTTCCACTAGGTACTTTCTGTATTTATCATATAGTCTCTGGTAGTTCTAACATCTAGGCCAGTATTAATTCTGGTTCTATGGATTGTTTCATCTCTCCTTTTCTTAAATTGAGATATAATTGACATATAACATTGTGTTTGTTTTAGGTTTACAACATAATGATTTGAGGTTTTTTATATATATATATATATATATATATATATATATATATAAAATATTTTATCTCTTGACAATGAGTCTTTTTTTTTCCTTTCTGTCTTGCTTACTTTCTGCTTTTATGTGTGTTGTAATATTTTATTGAATGTCATACACAATATATAGAAAAACAGTAGAGGCTGAGGTAAAAAAAAAAAAAAAAATCACACCTGGAAAAGGGCAGGCCTGCCTAGTGCGGGGACTGAGCCTTCTGTCAGTAGTGACCTGGGTTTGGGTTTTCTTCTTTCTGCACTATCCTCAGTGCACATCAGGCTTCAGGGTCCTCCAGTGATTCAGTGATAAGCTGCTGTGTTACCTTGTGCTTGGTGTGGAGCCTGGGACGCTGTAGGTTTTCTCCAGCATTCCTGTCGCAGCCTCAGCTCTGAGCAGTTTCTGCACACCCTCGCCCCCAAGGGGGTCTTTCCCCGCCTCCGTGCTGGAGTGCTGCTGCTTGTTCCTTGGTGCTACGCTCTGTGAGGCCTGAGGTGGGGCGGGCGAGTGTCTTGGTTCTCCTGTCCATCCTCAGTCTTAAACAGGACATGTTCCTGGGCTGCAGGGGTGGGACCTTTCAAGCCTTCCTGCACCCCCTCCCTCTCCCTGGCAGCTAAACACTGCCTTGAGTATCTGGTGACTCTTGGGAAGAAGAGATTTCCTGCCTCTGCTTTTATTGATGCAGGATCCTAGGGCTCAAGGCAACCAGGGACTGATGGCTTTTGCCTCTGCTCTTCCCCCAGAAGCAGTAGATCTTTGCCTGGTTACTTTGGAAGGTAAGAGAGGGCTTTTTAGTCCCTCTCCCCAGGGGCAAACAGGTTTGGTTTCTACGCTGGCTCAGTGAGCAAGAGGGTTTGGTGCCCCTCTCCCAGCAGCTTAAGGCTTCGCTTCCTTTGGGAGGAGGGTCCAGGGAGCAGCAGGGTTTCACGCCTGTCCACCAGCAGCAGCCTGTCACACCAGCACACCCATGCCACCAAGCGGTGCTGCCCTGCCCCGGTCACTGGTGGGCCCTGGGAGGAGGCTGACCCAGGATTGCGTACAAGTGGGTGCAGACTCCTATTGTGTCACGGGCTCCCAGTTATCCTAGACTGAGAGGCTCCCCATACCCAACCTTTATGAATTTGTTAACATTTTAGCTGCTTCCTTCTTATTTGCTTTTATAGTGGCTACCTCTTCCTCCCCTGCTCTGTCAAAGAGGAAACATTTTTGTGTAGCCTGACTCTCCTTGAAGGGGCTTCTTACTCTTTAGAATTAAATCCCTTTGTCTTCAGACCTTAGCTTTCTGAAAAGTTGATAAAAGTTTTGAACTTTTTCTCATTTGGATGGGAGCAGCATTCTCTTACTGCTTTCTACATCCTAAAGGGAAGCAGAACCCCCCCAAAGCTTTTTCAATCCCAGCCCTCCACTCCCTCTCAAGGACTTTCATTTCCGGGATCTTGTTTATACTTCCCCACGTAAGAGATGGTCAGGCAGTTGTATCCCCTTCTTGGAACCTGCAGATCAAACACAGGAGTCCAGAAAAATCAAATGTGCTAATACAGAGTGATCAGAACCAAGTGAGTTTCCTGCATGCGGGAACTCATTTCTCATGCCAGTTTCCCACTCGAAAAATAAGTGTGAACCCTCATGTGTGCATCACCCTTCTCTTTTTACAACTGTCCCTTATGGAGTGCCTCCCCTGCAAAGAGGTCCCAGTGTTTTCCTGTGCTTTATCTCATCCGTCCTGACATGTTCATGTGATACAGGAGCAGATGGTGGTCCCTCCATCCTCAAAACAGAGACGCGAGAGGCCTGGAAGTGAAGGATCACATGGCGGCCCAGCTGGTCCCAAACCCAGACTCTCTGACTCCAGCCCGGCCGCCCCCCCGCCCCCGGGCCACACCACTGTGCTGTGTGCTAATTCTAAAGTCTCCTGGGCAAAAAATAAAAGAGCTTCCACAGTCATTTGTTCAGGGTTTAAGTGATTCATTTTGTGATTTGATCCTGAAACAGAAGACAGTCTGGTTTTATAGACAAAAAAACAACATCCTAAACCGTATCACATTAGTTAAGAAGAGTTTTGTTTGTAACTGGTTGGAAAGTGAGCCCCGTGGCTGAGCCCCGGGCTGAGGGCCGGTGTCCTTTTGTCTTCCACAGCTCTTGTTGGTGCCTGCGGTGGAAATTACTCAGCCACGACCTCTGTCATCTACTCCCCTGACTTTCCTGACACCTACGCCACAGGGAGGGTCTGCTACTGGACCATTCGGGTTCCGGGAGCCTCCCACATCCACTTCAGCTTCACCTTATTTGACATCAGGGATTCTGCAGACATGGTGGAGCTGCTGGACGGCTACACCCACAGAGTCCTGGTCCGTTTCAATGGAAGGAACCGCCCACCTTTGTCCTTTAATGTCTCTCGGGATTTTGTCATTCTTTATTTCTTCTCTGATCGCATCAATCAAGCCCAGGGATTTGCTGTCTTATACCAAGGTAAGACTTCCTGTGTGCCCTGGGCTTCTCTTACACACCCTTGTGACCTGTGGACCAGTAGCTCCTGATTCAACTTCTGGATTTTCCCACCTCCCGTTTCATAACTTGTATACATTTTCTGATATAGAAAAGAAGTCAGACCTGTCCATTTTGCCATGTTAGTAGTTATAATAGGAGGGCTAAAAGAACAACTAAAAGAAAAGGCTGAGGTTGGTAGAATTGGAAGGCTCTCAGGAGGTCATTTGGTCCATCCTTCTGCCTTTCATGGTCATTTGGTCCATCCTCCTGTCTCTCAGGATCCCAGCCAATCCTAAAATCCTCCTGAGATGGAGCCCCACTCTCTGCCCCTCTAACGTGGACACATGTGCTCCAGGCGCATCTCTTTGCCAGCACACGAGAAACACAAGGGATGTCTGAGATGTAGTCTTTGTCTAGATGTCAGGAGTCTTCAGTCAGTGTGAGCTACAGGGGAGTCAGAGATGGGACAGCCTTGAAGAACAGGTGGGATCGGGATTGATAGGTAGGAAGGAAGAAGGCCTGTCAGGTAGAAGGAGCCATAGCTACAAAGGCACAAGGGTAGGAAAATGGTAAAGTATGCTCAGGTGTCTGCTAAGAGGCCAGTCAAATGATCAGAAGTTGATGGTTCATTCCTTCTGCCTCCTTCAGGGCCAGGGCCTGGCAGGCTCTGCGTGGGGGCCAGTGGGTCAGTGGAGAGAACAGCACTCAGAGTTAAATGAGAGAAAACTGTCTTTCTACATAACCAGTGCCTCTTCCTCCATAGCGATTCATTGTGTTTGCCTTGTGTGTTGCCGGCTTTTCCCCAGTTAATCCCTTTTGATCTTCCAGCTGTCAAGGAAGAACCACCACAGGAGAGGCCCACTGCCAACCAGACACTGGCCGAGGTGATCACAGAGCAGGCCAACCTCAGCATCAGTGCTGCCCGGTCCTCCAAAGTCCTCTACGTCATCACCACCAGCCCCAGCCACCCGCCACAGACTGTCCCAGGTAGCAGTTCCCAGACGCCTTCAAAGGGGTTAGAAGCCACAGAGCTCAAAGGCAGCGCTCTTGGCAATTATAGAACCAGAGTGTTCTTGGGTGTTTCTCATTCCAAGGCATGTTGAGGGTTCTGGCTCTGTCACTATGTTTTTCCTGGCCTTTGGGGGACATTTTATCATTAGCTTGACTACTTAGTCCTTAGGGAAAAAGTACTCACTAACATAGATCCAGCATGGGTGCCTTTTGTACATTGTGATTAATCAGCTAGTCCAGTGTTTTTCTCACATTGCAAATATCTTTCTAGAGCCACAAGTTGTAGCTCCCTAAATTCATTGGCAATTTTAAGAGCTCCATTCGTTCATTCATTCATTCATTCAAAAGATACGTAAGTGCTTTAATAATGCCAGGCACTATTATAGACACTGGACTATATATGTAATGAACAAAAAAAATCTGCACTCCAGTGGCTTACAAGGGGGAAGAGAAAGACAAGAAGTAAAATAAAAAGTCAGATAGCAGTAAGCGCTATGAAGAAAAGTCATGCAGGAGGATCAGGAATGGGTGATGATCTTGTGGTCTGAGCTGGCTAACTTAGTTGGGTGCAGACTTCCATTCTCGCTTTCCTGCCAAGGAAGCTAAGGCCCTTAAGCTGATAGAGCTGCAGTGCACTGTTAGCAATGACCGAGCCTAGAGATTTTCAGACTATTTTCCAGGTTCCCTGAAGGCTAGGGATGAGAGCCTCTCTGGCGCTTGCCCTGCATCATTTGTTTGTGTATCCCAATAGAGTTTCACAAGTCTCATATCTCATTCCCCAGATGAGGAAACTGAGCCCTGCAGAGTTTATACAACTCACCTGTGGTTGCACAGTAAAGACAGAATGTCCACCATGTCTTTTGACTCTGAGTCCATTGTATTTTGGACCACACCACCTGCCTCTCTAAAGCCAGGCGAGGGGCTCTGAAGGCTGGGACTCCATGCCAGTCCAGCTCTTGGCTGCATTTGGTGGCTCTTCACACCTGCAGGGAGCTCCTTAGCCAGACTTTCGTCTCTGAGCGGCCAGTGTTCACCAAGGGCTTCCTTCTGAAAGCTGAGCTCAAACAGGCCTGACAAAACCCTGTCTTTTGCACTTGCAGGATGGACTGTGTATGGCCTGGCAACTCTCCTCATCCTCACAGTCACAGCCATCATAGCAAAGATACTTCTGCACATCACATTCAAGTGAGTAGAACAGAGCTGCCTAATTCCAGGAGTGGAGGGCTCAGAACTCATTTTCTACTATGTTTCATTTGTCTGGGTAAAAGTGTAATATCAGAACATGATTCCAAAGTCCTTAGTCCTAGGGAAGGGAAGACAGTAGACATTTCTCATTCTTTGTAGAGTGAAATGTACAACTGGACAAATTTCACTAAGGTTTGAGGAATTGTGTTGGCTCCTGTGTCCAAAGGATACAATTTCAGGGAGTATTGAAACAGTCTGGGCATAAAAAGCAACAATTTCCATTTTTTGCCTTGTGCTGGCCCCTAAAAGAGACCTTGATGCAGGAACAAAGATTGCTAGGACAATACCATGTGAATATTCCTGATGCCTTCTAGAAATTGGGAAACATCCTTAGGAAGAGAATTCTAACACTAACTATTGCTTAATAGTCATTTTAAGGCAGTTATTTAAGCTTATAGAAGCTTCGACCTTCAGTTCTGACCATTTGGAAGAAAACATTTCCTTCCTTTATTTTGCGGCTCTGGTTTAAGTTTTTCATCCAGGAAAGGGGCTGCTGAAGTTTGTGTATTTACAGAGGGGAATCCTTTCTCATTTTTTCTAGACTTTGACTCTGTCTTCCCTGTGGTTCCCAGTCCAGGCTCTCTCCACTTTTTTTCCTCCAGTTTTATTGAAATATAATTGATACACAAGTTATCTCCATTTCAAGGCCTTCCTGAACATTGGTGTCCAATGAAAGCCGCTTTTCCCTGACCTTCTCACAAGCCCTCTGCCATAGACTCTTAATACATTAAATCACGGCTCCTTCATAGCCCTGTGAAAGCTGCCCTTGGCCACGCTGGGACCACCCATGGGCCTCTCCATCCTGCACATTACATTTTGCAGTGAAAACAACGTCGTTCTTGTTTACTGAGCCTGCTCACGTGCCATATATATACTTTTTAGTCACAATTCTCATGTTCTGGAAGCCTCTCAGGCACAGTCTTGACCAGGTGTCTCCCACAGCAGCAGGAAGGCAGGAGGCTCCCTCTAGGGCCCAGCAGCTCACAGCTCGCAGTGCGCTGAGGCCCTGACACAGCCTGGCTCTCCCCACCCCCACCTGCGCCCCCAAACACACACACACACACACTCACATTCACACTCACACTCACACTCACACTCACACACTCACACTCACACTCACACACTCACACTCACACACTCACACTCACACACTCACACTGGAGTCCCTCTGAAGCTTCCCTACCAGGCCATGTTGGTGGTGAGCAGGGCCCACTTTGAGCAGAGTGGTTTTGCCTTTATCCCATTTTAACTAGGTTGGCTTCTAGGTAAATGTCATTTGAAGAGAGAGTTCTTCTATTTAAAAAAAGAAAAAAATTTGAAAACTCATAATCTCTCAGGACAGCCCTTTTCAGATTTGAGTAATTCTGTGAGTTAAAAAGTTCTTTGTTATACTGAACCGGAATCTGCCCCGCTGCACTCATGTCCCACAGGACATGTTCCATCGGCCCCGTAGTCCTTTGGATCCCTAGAGGCGGCGTTTAGGTCTTTCCCATGACCTCACCTCCCGGGGCATCCCGTTTCACAGGTGTAGGTGTCTCATGAGATGGTAGGTTGTTTGAGATGTCATACTTGAAGAACTCTAACGGTATTTTTGTTTGACAGATCACATCGTGTTCCTGCTTCAGGGGACCTTGGGGATTGTCATCAACCAGGGACGTCCGGGGAAATCTGGAGCATTTTTTATAAGCCCTCTACTTCGATTTCCATCTTTAAGAAGAAGCTCAAGGGTCAGAGTCAACAAGATGACCGTAATCCTCTTGTGAGTGACTAAAGCCCCGTCCCCATGCCTGGGATGTGAGGCTCCTCTGAGTGCAAGGCCGCAGGGGACCACCGCCCCTGTGGTTTCCTCTGATGAACTCTTCCCTGCCTCCCCCCCAGCCTCTGCAGAGGCGCCTGCCAGTGGACTGGGAAGGGGCGCCCTGCTGCAGGGGCAGGCGTAGCCTGCATTCATCCTGCTTCGTCGGCTGCACTTCGGAGAGAGACACGCAAGGTCCCCGGGTCCAGGGCCTCCTGTGTGTGTGTCTCTCTCTGATCTAGGAAGAGGGGTGTCAGGACACTGGGGCTCAGATGGCAAAGATGGCTGTGTCTAGCACTGGGTTCAGGTACATTCTAGATGGTTCTCGGGTGGTGGGTAAGTGTAGTGTACATTGAGTCTTGCTTGCTTCTTCTCTGTGTTGTCCACACACAGATCGCTTTCTCCTGGTCGTTATGGTTTGGAAGAGGGGGCGGGCAGAGAATTCCGAGGTTTTCTTGAGGGTTGGCCTGGTCCAGTTCTCCGACATCCCAAAGCCCTAAAGAGGGCCCATGTTCTGTGCTGACTCTGGGGCTTTGTTCTCTGGGCGCTGAATGAGAACAGGCCTCCTCCCACCTGGGACAGCCTGAGAAGCAGGTCTGCTGACCCCTATTCATGTCAAACCTGAAACCTTCCACATTTGGGCTTCTTCCCACAGCGTGGTGACCAACAGAGCAAGCTTGTGGAGTGGCTGCATAAAACATCCATTGATTTTTCACACAACAGACTTTACTGGAAGCTTTCATAGGTGCTCAATAACTCCTTGTGGGATTGGATTTGTCTGGCCTTGCCCCCAGGCAGCTTGTGGTCCTGTGGAACCTGGGCCAGGCCCTCATCTCTCCAGGATGCTCTAAACTGACTCTCGATTCAGCACAGGCAGTGTGGAGATCATGGTTCAGCTTTTAGCCAGCATTATGTGAGGCAGGGTGCTAGCAGTCCCTCCTTTAGCTGTCCCTCATTGTAAAAGAAAATGAAAAACACCCCACAGCCGGTGTTCTCTGTCGCCCTCTCTTCCTCTTGTGGGGACAGAGTGGGGTGTGGAGGGCTTGGCGGGGAAGTAGAGGGCTCTTAGCCCTGGCCTCACACTACCCTGCCCTCAGGTGGGGAGGTGGGTCGTAGACTTGGCATGAGGAGTGAGAGAGGGAGGGTTTGGGAACTGGAGACCTTCTGAGGACAGGCCTCCGAAGATGGAGAGCTACAAATGCAGTGCTGCAAGTGCAGAGTCAGTGCCATCGCTGGTTTAGAAGCCCCACCATCCAAAGCAGGCTCTGCCAACAGCAGCTGAGCAGAGCCGCCTGTGCCTCTGAAGGTCAGGCCTGAGCCTTTGTCAGAACGTGACTCTCCCAGAGGCACTCAGGCCTCGGGCCTTGCTGTGCCCCTGGCCTCACAGGTTCCCCCTTTGGAGCACTTTGCCTACCTGGCCTGAGTCCCTAAGCCACTGCCTTCCACGGCCCTTCCTGGGGTTTTGCTGTATTGGCAACCCGTCTGAAACCAGCTGCTGCCAGAAAAACAGGGGGCCATGTGGGGCTAGCTGGGAGGTGTCTGCCGAGAGAGGTGACACCTGGCAACCAAGAAAGATACTAAGTGCTGGCAGGCAGAGGGCATTCAGAGAAGGGCGACGGTGCAGTGTGTCCATAGGAGGGCAGGGCACCACCCCAGGCACCAGGGGACGCCTCCCACAGCATGGACCCGCTTGGCGCTGCCTTCACGCTTTGATCTGGAAAGGGCGGTTACCCTGGAGCAGCTGTCCTCAGGCCCCTGGGTCTGGAGACAGCGGTCTGTCCCATACAAGGACCACTGGAAATACACTGACATGTGCAGTCTCCCTTCCAAGCTATTCCTGGCTTTTGTGGAATCTCCTCTCAAACACAAGTGTCAGGTGTGCAGTCACAAAGGGCCCTGTGCTGTGAATAGATCCACTCAGAGCACAAAGGGAATGTGGAATTTGGCAAAGGGTTCACCCCGCCAAGAGGCAGTTGTTCGGCGGCCGATGGCTTACTCGGATCGCTGGCCTCTGGAGCCGCCCGCCTACCCTGCTCACCTCATACCTCTGGCCACAGGGGCCAAGCCCCAAGCCAGGGTGTCTCCTGGGCCTGCAGCTGGATCAGCCCTTTGTCAGCGATCCTGGAAATGCTGGTGACACCCCAGAACTCTCCTTCTGGCTGGTCCTGGAGCAGCCCAGTGCCACCAGGATCCATTATGTCCAGGGAGGGACCACAGGTAACCCAAACCAACCTCAAGACAGCAAGGTTGGGGGGACAGTCATAAATTGTCCCAGGTCACACCTCCCTAAATTCCTTGGCCACAGTCTGGCCATGCTCTTGGTTGGCACATGTTGACAGCACCCCATAAAGAGTCCCTTGTGGCTAAGCTGAGAAATAAATTGTCCCAGAAGAGGTGAGGTGCACTTCCAGGAGCATCGAAGGAGGAAGCACTTGATCTTTTAAAAAACTACTTTTGAAGAGACAAAGTAGGGGTTTGGAGGTGATTGGAAAGGTGACCCTGAGAAAAGCTCATTACAGATCACACAGCAGAAGACTATGAAGGGGGTGGGGGCTCTGGGGACCACCATGGACGGCGGCTCCGAAAGCACCCTGTGCAGAGCGTCTGCCTTGAGGTGCAGAGTGGAGGGGGCTGCAAGCTTGCGCCTCACTCAGGGCCTGTGTGCCCTCCTCATCCCGTTCACTGCCAGTCCCCAGGCCGTCTTCTGGGCGCGTGTCCCAGCCTGAGGGAGGACCCCCGGGCAGCGGCTCGTGTTGCCTCCCATGGTGGTTGCACCTTTTCTTAGCCATGTTTCACAGTGGCCTTGGCCTCTCTAGAAGGCACTTGGTGCCCCGTGTTCTTCCCCATGTGTCGTTGCTTACAGAGCGGCGAAGGAGTAGGAATGAACCCCCGGTACCTTCCCCCACACCCCCCATGCCAGAACAGGGCAAGGCCTCTCTGGGTGTAAGTAAGGTAACCTGGTTGCTTACTGTCACTTCTGCAGTGTGGGCTCTGGCTCAGGACTCCAATCAGCCAGAAACCCACAAAGATCAAAGCACTAGGGAGTACAACTATCCTGGACCTGAGGCCAAACCTGTGGGGAAAGGCCTCACCCACACGCCCCATTGTCAGCCCAAGGCAGGGCCATTGCCAAGCCTCTGTGCGTCCTAGGCACTTAATCCTCACAAGCACTTAGTGGACGGCCTCCCAGATCCCGTCTGCCCTGCCTGACAAGGCCACCCCAGCTCTCCCCCAGAGCCAGGCCAGCTCCCCACTCCATGGCCCAGTCAACTGGCATGCTCTTGGGATTCAAATCTCCTGTTTGGTGTTTGATGTCTGCTTTTGTTACTACCTTGGGGATTTTTAACCTTTTGATTATTTCCTCTGGTGTCTTTGTTTACCTTCCTCACTCTTCTACCTCCTGGCCAGGTCTCTCAGCTTAGCTGCCCTGGCGTGGGGTGTTTCTCAAACCTTCCAGCCGCAGCTGCCTCCCCACAGGCCGGCGGGCTCAGGGCTGACAGGGCCTCACCCTCTGCCTGCAGGCCCCAGGGGTGTGCCCATTGCATGGGCTTCTGTCTTGCTGAGTCCCACATACTCAACGAGACAGAAATGGGGTGCGGAGGCAAGTCCAAGGCAAATCTACCGCGTCAGAACGGATGTGTCTTCAGGAGCACAGAGTGGGGAGCTGCCGCCGCAGGGTTCGCGCCGCATCCAGACCTGCCCACATCCAGACTCACCTTCCCGTGGGGATCTTGACTTTGGATGACAAGGCTTTATTTGTAAATATGCTCTTAATATGCAACTTTGAGAATAAAATAGAAACATCATGTATTTTAAAATATAAGATGAAGTGTGACGCACTGTATACAATTTAATATATATTTTTAGGATTTTGTTATTTAAGAAAATGGAATGTAATGGTACTTAACTTTTACAAAAGAGAGAAAAATGTTATTTTTACTGCCTGGAGAAAATAAATATTCTCATTGTTGTAGAATCAGGGTGATGGGCCCTGGCTTGTCGTGTTTATGGGTGCGCTCATAGGAAGCTGCCACGTGCTGGGAGACCATCTGCCCTTCTGAACGCCGTGCCCATGCTGGGCCTCTCCGTTTGCTCGGTTTTTCCCAGGTGTCCCCAGACTTCCTCAGGTCTCACTGCAGTTTTGACCCGCAGTTGATCTTCAGCTGGTAAGATCTGAAAGAGTTGGAATTCCAACTCAACACACCGCACAGTGGAGACAGAGGACAAGCACGTGGCTCTGCATTCGGAAAGACCTAGGTCTGAATTGACCTGGAGTTGGCCAGCCCACTAATCAGCTTCAGTCTCCACTCTCTGTAAAATGTAATAGTACCTGTGCCTCAGCAGGCGATGAAGATCAAGTGAGAAAATGTATCTAAAACACGAATGTAATTGTTATCCAGTGTGGAATTCATCTTTGCCTTTCCTCTTGCCACCATTTCCTTTTTAATAATAGTGACGAAAGCTTCACGTGAGTTGCCCACTCTGCACCCAGCACTCTCCTGTCAGGTGCTGTGGATACCCTCGCAGCCCTTTGAGCAGGTACTGTCACCCCTGCTTTGCCAGTGAGGAAACTGAGGCTCGGAGAAGAGCATTGGGGTAGTAGTTGAGAGCACAGCCCGAGAGCCAGCCTACAGCATTCATCTCCCAGCACTTATATGCTGAGAGGCCAAGGAGTGTAAAATGGAGACATTGAAGGGTTTTGGTGGAGGAGTGACATAGGATCCCTAATTTAGAAGGATTTCCTACTTGCATTAGGAAAAACAGATTGGAGTGGCGTAAGACCGAGGGTGAGGAAGCTAATCAGAAAGCTCATAGATGCACAGGTCCAAGTGAGAGTTTCAGGGGGCCTGAGAAGGCCCCCAAAACAGCACTGTGGAGGGAGGGGAGGTCCTAGGTGAGAGAAAGCCGACTACCCCCATATGCCAGGGGCAGGTGCTAGGGACTGACTGCCTGGGCTCACATCCCAGCCCCACCACTTACCACAGGATCTTAGGTGAGGGACTCAGCCCCGGGCACCTACTTCCCCATCTGTCAGATGGGGCAATTATAGTTCCTGCCGTAAAGTTGTGAAGAGTTATTGCCTGTAGTATGGTTTCCATAAGTGGTAGCTGTTCTTTGTTATTCTAGAGAAGAGGTGGGGGTTTAAGAACAAGGAAGTGTCCAGGATATAGCTCACATTTATTTCAATGTTAAATATTAGAAGTGTTTTGAAAGGTCTTTATTTAGAAGTTTGGTGATGTCTTTTTGCGACCAGGAATAGGCCGTAGTCACTTCACTCTTGTTTATATCAATTACCCTATGGTAAAATTGGCTTCACTGTATTTCGTTTCATGTAAAGCTGCAGTTTCCAAGAACCTGTTAACGACGTAGGTGAGGACTGACTGCGGTTCTCTGGCAGGCACGTTAGCTTGCCATGGAGTGTGTGCCCGCCCTCCCCTCAGTCCCCCCTCCAGCTGACCGGGGCTGCACCCCCAGCCGCCAGCCCACACTGCCGTGGTGGCCGCAAGGTGACAACCCCTGAAAGGCCAGCCTCACCTGAGTGTTTCTCTTCTCTGAGCTCTCCTCTCTTTCCCAGAAGTTCTTTCCTTCCCTGAAGGAAAATGTTTTTTGACTTTTTAAAATTTATGTATAGTTGGTATACAATATTGTATTAGTTTCAGGTGTACAGTATAGTGACTCAACATTTATATACCTTACCATGTGATCTCCACACTAAGTCTAGTAATCATCTGTCTCCATGCAAAATTACCACAATATTACTGATTATAGTCCCCTTCACCTTTTCTTCCCATTCCCCCCTCCCTCCTCCCTTCTGGCAATGATCAGTTTGATCTGTTTCTATGAGTCTATTTTTGCGTTGTTTGTTCATCTATGTGTATGTGGTTTGTTTTTTTTTTTTAGATTCCACATATAAATGAAACCATATGGTATTTGTCTTTCTTTCTTTGACTTACTTCACTTAGCATAATACTCTCTAGGTCTATCCATGTTGTCACAAGTGATAAGATTTCATTCTTTTTTTATTGCTGAGTAATAGTCTATTTTTTATATCTTTATACGTATATATATAATCTCACATCTTCTTTATCCATTCATCTATTGATAGACACCTAGGTTGCTTCCATATCTTGGCTATTGTAAATAATTCTGCAATGAACATAGGAGTGCATATATCTTTTCAAATTAGTGTTTTGTTTTTGATAAATACCCAGAAGTAGAATAGCTAGGTCATACGGTAGATTTCATTTTTTAGTTTTTTGAGGAGTCCCCATACTGTTTTCCATAGTGACTACACCAATTTGCAGTCCTGCTAATAGTGCACAAGGGTTCCCTTTTCTCCACATTTTTGCCACACGTGACTTTTTGATAATAGCCATTCTGACAGGTGTGCAGAGATACCTCATTATGGCTTTGATTTGCATTTTCCTGATGATTAGTGATGTTGAACATCTTTTCATATGTCTGTTGGTCACCTGTATGTCCTCTTTGGAGAAATGTCTCTTCATGTCCTCCACCCATTTTTTGATTGGATTGTTTATACTTTTGTTAATGTATGAGTTCCTTATATATTTTGGCTCTCAACCCCTTATCAGATATGTCATTTGCAAACATATGCTGAGGGAAAATATTTTTAATGGCTGGTGGAAAACAAATGGGGTGGCCTCACCGGTGAATTTCTTAAAGACAGATTAGCCTGCGGCAGAAAAATAAATAAATGGAACCGTCCTGCCTAAAGCAGGACCGGGAAGAGGCTACCAACCCCATCTGAGTGGACTTGGGGGACTGCTGACCTTGACCTCATCTCGTTTTCCCAAACCTGAGCAATGCGGACATTGTAAAACCCGCCCACACCCGGTCAGCGTCAGCCTCATCCTTTGTCAGGCAATCAAAGGCTCTTCTTCCTGTGGGTCCTGTGGAGATGAAAAGGGCTGGACCTTGTCACCGAGCTTGGAGATCACATGACCATCTCCTCTCCCCACTGGGCCATGCATGCCTGAAACTGCAGACAGTCTCTGAGACTCTGAGAACTGGAGAGCTTTTGTTCCTCTGTGACAGGGTCGGGTCCCTGTGGGGGATTGTTTTTGCTTGGCTGAAAGGGGCACTTGGGGGATAGAATATTTCAACTTCAAGAAGCAGCAACATTTGCTTGTAGCTGGAAGTCTTCGTTTCTGGTCTCCAGCTGTCGTCTGGAGCCACCAGGCCCCTGCTGAATGGGACTACACCCTGCGAGTGGGGGGCGGCAGCAGCACCAGGCTGGGCTGGCCGTGGACCAGCCTGTGTCACGGGGGCCCATCCCCAGGGCAGCCTGGTGGCAAGGACACCCTTGGCCCTCCCGACAGTGGTCACTGGGCTCTGGAATGAACCTGCTAGCTGTGGGTGACTGGGCTGGTGAACCAGGCTCTGCAGAGAAGCATTTCAGGAGGAAAATAGATCCAAGTTTGAAGTCCAGGCTAACTCCTCAGGGGCCGCGGGGTGGGGGGGAACAAAGGTCTGAAACAGCCAAGGCTTTTGCAACAGAGAAGTTTCAGATTTCACTTATTTCACTCTTAGGAACGTTTACCATTGTCCCTGTTCAAATGAGGCCACTGAACTTTTAAAAACTTAATTGGGGGCCTGGTGTTTTGCACATTGATCATGTGAATATGTTTAATGGACTTGCCTTAGTTGCTAGTACCACACATGAATCAGATCAAGAGCACTCCAGGGGTATTCAAACCTCATAGTTAATTAAATATGGGGCAGCTTTCTATGGGCCGCAGGGTGAACTGAGCAAAGAGTTTTTGAACGTGCAAGGATGGTGACAGTAGTGATAATAGCAGCTAACACTTCTGCAATACCTATGTGTGTAAGACACTGTACTAAGCACTCAACAGACATTACTGAATTCATCCCTGGGACAGCCCAGCCTGGGAACAGAGGCTCAGAGAAGGGGCTCGGCCAGTGGCCAGGATTCAGCCTGCTTCAGAGCCAGGGCTCCTTCTTCTTGTTGCTCTTCAGGCCCCTCAGGGCAGGCGGGTGAGCTCTGAGGGAGGCCCCAAAGCCCCCAAGTATGGCACCTTCACAAATGCTGCCTCCAGTCAGCCCAGGAAAAGTATAGATCAATTTGCCTGGGGCTAAGAAGGTGTCAAACCTACACTTCTGTACTTATTTGAAAACAAAGGCCTTTGAGAGTCAGATGAATGTTATCAAGCCCCGCCCTCAAAAGGATCCCACCTGCAAAAATTTGCATAGAGATTCTGCAGATTTAAGACCTCCTAAAACCCTCCCATAGAGTTCAGGTTCAGGATCTCTCTCCATTAAGCATCGGTACCTGAAAGTTAAAACTAGACCCAAAGAGGACAAGAGTATTAATATAATAATCGCAACTACTGATACATTTAACTGATCAGTTATTAACTGTCAGGCACTTATTCCAGGAGTTGGTAAATTTTTTCTGCAAAGTGCTAAATAGTAACTATTTTACCTTTGTGAACCATACAGCCTCTGCTCCCTGTCACCGCTACTTAACTCTGCCCACACTCGTTTTTGGGGGCCAACCACTGGAACCAGAGCCCATCCACTGGGGCCCTCACGGACCCCATCGCTGCAGGTCCTGGAGCCATCCGGGTCCCTGGGTGGGGGGCGGTTGGTGGCAGGACTTTGGTTGGTGGGAGGGGCATCAGGGCCCACACATAAGCAACCACAGACACTATCTAAACAAGTGGCGGGTTGTATTCTGACAAAACTTCATTTATGGACACTAGAACTTCAACCTTATATCATGTTCACATGTCACCAAATATTACTCTTCTTTTGATTTTTTTTACCCCAATAATTAAAGCCTGTAAAAACCATTCTTAGCTCAAGGGCCATACAAAAATAGGTGACAAGCCCGCAGGCCATAGTTGGCTACCCCCCACATCGCGCCCACCTCTTTCACTCATCGTATTTAACGCTCACAACAACTCTGAG